TGCTACTCAGTGTATACATATTCGGGACTAGCAAATGAGGGTGATGACCTCTGTCGTTCCTACCCTACTGAAGCCGAAATCAGTGAATTGGCTGGACCATCTGAAGTGTTGGAACCGATATGAGAAGCTGTTGTCGACGGTTAAATCGCCCTCGAACTTTGGGAAAAAGGATGATAGGTCATCAGTCACTTCTAACAAAGTAAAGGTGACGGATCCGAAGAAGTGTATTGTATATTTTAAACGACAATTTGCCGAGCACCCCAAAAACGATACAGCGTATCAGATTTCTTCCCTCCGATGAGGCAAAGCGTTAGGCCCAGGCGTAATCTCAATGGTAATGTTGAAACAATTGGATATGAAATAAGTTGAGTACCTGACAAATCGTTCCCAATGCCTGGAAAATGGGTCAAAAATCCACAGCTTCTCATTCAAACAGATGGTTCGTACGAAAAAATCTTTATTTTTTTAAAAATGGAGACAGACCTACAGAAGGGTAACGAATTTATAAAAGTCATTTTAAATATATTCTCAATCCCCAAAAAATTGTAGCCTCAAAAATTGAATTTTTTCTAAATAAAATTTCTTCAAATCCCGATGCTCTATTTCCAGCAATTTCCATTGGGAATTTCAGTTAACTTAACCTCCACCATTGGGTAAAGAAAAAATTTTAGGGCAAAAATATCTGGACTCAAACGTGCTCCACTTTAAACTACAAATTTCAAACAAATCCGTTAAAAAATGTGGCTAAAATCATCAAAATACCGAATATCGGGAGGTGCCCTTATATGGAGGCTATACGGAAACGTAGACCTATATGTACAATGTTTACGCCACTAGAGCTAGACCACATAACGTACTACAAATACCAATTTTTTAGACAAATTGGTGGATATGTGTGGCTAAAGCTATCAAAATACCGAATATCAGGAGGTGCCGTTATATGTACTTCTGTGCCAAATTTGAAAGCTCTACGTCAAATATTGTGAGCTGTATCGTGATTTCAACAGACAGACGGACAGACAGATGGACGTCGTTAAATCGACTTAGAATTTTATGCTGATCATGAATACATGTACTTTATGGGGTCTATGACGAATATTTAGAGGTGTTACAAACGGAATGACCTTCTTTCCACGGAGGAGGGTATAAAAATCAGTCGGCCTCTGTGGGTTGATACAATTACATTTCGAATCCCATAAGTCCACCTCTAAATCCTTATTTGGCTCACAAATTCTAAGCAAAAATATATCTAAGAATATCTACTTATGCCTAATAAAAATATTCGGCTGGTCATGTATATATTGCTACATTAAAAACATCTGGCTCCCTGGGAATGGGTACTAACACATTCACCGAAACCTGAAAACATATTTTGTTCATGCACCATCATAACCAGTTCATGAAACATTTCACACACACATATTTTTTTTGTTCAAGAAAATACTTGGCATTTCCTTTCGAAACGCATACCATAAGCTTATGATGGAAGCTTTTCTTGGATTTAGAAACAATTTACAAATAGAATATTCAAAATAGTCATTGAATTACAAACAAAACTGTGACAGGAGAATATTTTGAGAGAAAAGCCTGCTAAATTTGTCACTTATTAAAGGCCACGACAGTTCTCTCTTTAAGAGCATGTCAACCTTCAGCTTGCATTATAAATCGTCTTTCCCTTATTTCAACACGCGCTAACCAAATGATTTCGAAAAACCCAACGGTTTGGAAGCCATGGATTTCAGTGATGCATTCATATGAACAAACCTATCCAACACTTACCTCAGTGCAAACATCACGTACAATGCCTGCAGCAAAGTGGACATCATGTAATGTTTCTGTGTTGTTTTTTTTTTTTTGTTCACAGTAGTGTACATGCATATGGAAATCCACATGTCCTGACTAGTAGCTATGTGAACGTATAGATGAATGCTGTTATTCTAATGCTGAGTTATGCCGGAAATAGCCTAAGGGCAGCATGGGCAAGGTGAAGTCATTCTAGTTTGTTACATATTTGCTGAAAAATCCACCAGAATATTTAAGATTTGTGACATTATTTCCATTGGAATTTGAGAGATTGAAAGTACCACAACAATTTTTATGACTACTATTGGGCGACATGAAAAAACTGCAACCAACTTCAGACTGCGGTCATTTCTAAGCCACTCGTCCGACAGCTGGTAAAATTCCAGTGACAGCTCATTACATTGTTTACAAGCGTACAGAAGCATATTGGTCAGAATTTTGCAGAAAAAAATTATTCGTGATGGAAATCAAGCGTCATAGTGTGATTTCTTTATATTTTTCAGGAAAACCACAAGTGGCTATCGTTAGAGCACTCCAGCATTTAAATCACTCGTAACCGTGATACTGGTAGCGTAGCCCGACGTCAAGGAAGTGTACGGAAGAAAACAGCAACATCAGCAGAAATGGTTCGAAAAGTAAAGAAGCGACTTGATCGAAACCCGCGTCGCAGTGGCTGAAAAATGGTTCGTGGGCTGAACATATCGCAATATTCCATTCGGCAAATATTGAAAAATTTGCTCGAGGTAAAGCCATTGAAATTCCAAAAAGTGCAAGAACTTACACCGCAACAGAAAGAAAATAGACTCAAAAGAGCTAAAGAGTTGCTTCGCTTGGCCGAAAGTGCTGAAGTGCCGAATTTGGTTTTCTCCGATGAGAAAACATTCGTCGTCCAGCAGTTTGTAAACAAACAAAATGATCGTGTTTACTTGTCAAAGAGGTCAGCTGAAAATGTACACCTTCGGTTGGCCACCAGAACTCAAGCGCCGGTCATGGTGATGGTGTGGGCCGCCATAACAGCTGATGGTCGCTCTCAGGTCGTATTAATCGACCGTGGCATCAGAATAAATGCGGAACATTATCGCGAAAATGTTCTGGAGGGTGTATTAAAGCCCTGGGCACGCAAACATTTTGGCCGCAGACCTTGGACATTCCAACAGAACTCAGCACCATCGCACTCAGCACGCGCCAACCAAGAATGGTTACAAAATGAGGTTCCTCGCTTCATTTCCAGCGCACAATGGCCACCAAAATCTCCGGATAGCAATCCGTTTGACTATTGTGTCTGGGGTATTTTGGAAAGCAAGGTTGGCACTAAAAAAAATACCAAAATTATAGCGTTTGACGTTGTTGCACCATGTATAGACAACGAGACCTATTGTGAACACCAAACTCAAAACAATTCCTTTGAAAAGTATGGCTAAAATCGTCATAATACTTAATATCGGGAGGTTCAGTATATGGGAGCTATATTGCAAAGATGTTCCCTATATAGTGGGAACACAATCTGCAAATTTCCAGAAAATTCATACCTGTTTATGTAGAGAGCTTTAAGCCAGGGTCTGAGACTTTCCGTCGAAGTATATCCAACACCGACTACGCGACCCCAGGTATTCTAAATTTGATACTTTTCATAAGATGTGAAACTTTCTCCTATGGACAGATTCCAACACAGGCTACAAGACTAAATCTACTTTTAAAAAAGTAAAGATTTATTGAGTGGCCAGTCTTTGCAATCAGTGGCGCTACAACTTTACATTGATATCCATATCTCTGGTTTGGACAAACACTGCGACCACATCAGACACTAATGGAACTATAGAGTCCCATAACTCGGGAAGGCCGGACTTAACGGTACACCAAGCGGTACCTATGGAAACATTTTCAATTATTCCACGCTGGCCTAAATCCCCACTAAAGCCTTTATTTCAATAAATTGGAGAGGAAGAGAAAAAATTTGAGTTGCTGAGTAGTGATTTTTATTAGGAAACATTTAACTTCAGCCTTTAACAATCTAATTTTATATTCAAAAATCTACATCCAAAGGAGAAGTCTTTTTCTTATAGAAATAAAATTATGTTTAAAAATTCTCAAAACGAGAAGTCTGAAGTCTATGAAAAAAACGTTTTATTCCCAATTTTCTTTTTCAGAGATTTTTTTTTTTTGTTTTTAATAGAATCTTTATCTTTAGAAGACAACATATGTGGAGTTAACCTAATTCTTATCAAAAAAATATATTGAAGCTGTATATTTAACCTATCTACTTTTGGGAATACAACCTTCTTCCTAAAAAATATATACCTTTTCTGTGTCATATCCCGTAAAAATATAAATAACAAAATTGGCTGAATCTGTGGATTCCCCAACATTGGAATTTTTAGCAAATAAATAAACATATCAGATAAACTCCGACCATGACTTAATTCCTCAAGTATCTTTAAAAGTATGTGACCGATTCTATATGTTACAAAACTAATTTATCAACGCTGAATTATTGTACATTTTACAAAAATATAAATATTCCCCCTAAGAAGCCTTTCAACTTAATTTTTTACCTTTCTTGTTTTGGCTGAATTGTTCGTCATTATAGAGAAATCTTAAATTGTCAAATGTTGTCATTTCTTAGAATTGCTTATCAGATAAAGAAGCCCAATAAAACAATAAACATCACTTAATCACCAAGGTATTGTTGTTGACGAAAGGGGATTCCTCATGTCACTTTCATAATTTGAAGAGCATATTAAATATTATTGGTAAAGCTATGATTCTTCGCCGCTATCTAATCAATATGGGCCAAGAATGCGAAAAAGGTATAAACCAAAAAATATTAAGTACTTTTGTGGCACAGAAAGGTAATTAAAGAGTAGATTTTACAGATGGCTTGGGAGAAAATCTTTGTCTACATAATGACATTGTAAAGTTTTGGACGAGTAACGACTGTATCCATTGAACAAAATATGTCAGCATAATTAAAAAATCAAATAAATTATGTTTCTAGCAACATCTACTTTGAAGATACAACCAACAAAATTTACTTACAGCTAATTTATGTATTTTCGGCCAATGAATTCCATATGTATGGTCTGTTGATGGGCGAATGATGTTTTGAATTTGCTGTGTTGATTTGTTGGTATGTTATCTGAATTTCAATTGGTCAGTTTTCTTTTTTTTAACATTTGTCACTTAAATATATATTTGAATAAAAGTTCCAAATCACAAAAAAATTTATTTAATTCTATTTTTATTCAGATCAACCCAGGGCTAATCTTATGAACACTTATTAAATACGACACTGGCCTTTAATGCGGAATGTTTGCAACGCAACATATCACATTTCAGGGCATAACTATGTTTGCAAACTTGACAGGTAAAGGGCTTCACTTGTAGATGGAACCCTTTCAGATGCTGTAGCAGACCGTTGCGACGTTTAAAGCATCGCTGACATAAACTGCAAATGTGTTTCCTTTCTTCGGTATGTGTTATGCTGTGTTGGCGTAAACTGTTGGCATTCGGAAAAAATTTCGAACACACCGGACATGTGAAATTTTTATTTTCAGTGCTTGCATCAGAATTTGCTGCAATTTTAGGTTTTCGTCTATCCTTAATGGTCCGGCTATATTTCTTTGTAGGTTGCAACTGTAATTGTTCAACATTCTGTTCTAAATTTAAACACTTCTTTTGCAAGGTTTGATAGAGCTTTCGCAATTGTTGATACTGATTGGCCATGGTGTTGAGAGAGATTTTGTGTGGATTCTTCTTGACAATATTGCGACGTCGATAATTGGTTTGTCTTTGTTTCATTTGCGTAACATTATCTCCCCTTACGTCGCGGCGACGTATCTTAAAGCTATTTTTGAGCATTTTTGTGTTTTCTTCCTCGTTGGTGTTTCCTTTTGGATTTTCATTAGTTTCAGCAACGATATCCTTCGCCAGTTTTTCCAAGTTCTCAGCTGGACGTTCATAGACTTCCTTAGCACTGCTTAACTCTAAATTCTCAATTACTTCCGTTTTCATGTGACATTTACTCTCCGTGCTATTTCTCTCCACCAATATGTTACTGGTCGGCACTGTAACCATGGGAGTACCATGTGTTTGAGTATAGTGCTCTTTAAGATTTTCCACAGAGAAAAACTTCAAATGGCAAACCATGCAGGCATGTAACTGGCAGCCACCAGCTCCAGATTTGACTATACTTTCATTAAGTACCACAATACCATTTCCTTTACTCGTCGGCTGTTGTATAGCACTAACGGAGGTGACAATTGGTTTCAAGGCGCGATTTTCAAAAGAGTTCGTTTCTGAATATGATGGATCCGATATGTAATTATATGCCGGGTCTTTACACAGGTTCTCATTTTGTCGCACAATATTGTCGTCGCTTAGGTTTGGATGCTCCGTAAAAGTTCTCTCATCTCCATCAGATTTTTCGGTCTTGTAAACTTGTTGTTCCTCTTTGAAATCGTCGGTATCCACATAGGCATAATTATGTTCGTCCATTAATAAATGCACCTGCAGGAGTTCATGGGCAGTTAGCATATGGTTGGAACGCTGTTCATTTACTCTTTTCGGCGATTCTTCACTCTCATTTACAATGGTATTGTTGTCATCATCGGGTATGTTTATAAAAGGGTCGTCGAGGTTAATGATTTCCATGATGTCACAATCGTTAATGGGAAAATCACAAAATTCATATTTTTGGTCTACAGCTTCGCCGCCTTCGGTTTCATCATGTTGGCCATCGGCCATGACATCATATTCATCGTTGGCTCCAAGTTCCTGTTGCTGCTGGTCATAACCCACTTCAGCCACTTCCTGCTTTACCCGCACTGCCAGTGGCTCCTGTTTGATCTTTAATGGTGGTTTCTCTACGGCTTTCAGTTTGTATTTCTTTTGTAACTCCGTCTGAGCGGCCCACACAATGTCAACAAATTCACAGAAATGTTGAAGATTTTTATAGCAGGCAGAACACAGCACTTTGGGAAAGGCATCATCCTGTTGTATATTCAGTGTGGGAAAACATTTCTGTAGCATGCCATATAGCTCATAATTGGAAGCAAATGTAACTACTGGAACTGAACTGACACCACAAAGACGGCAATTGGTTTTGGCAATATTACTGCTGGCTGCAGCTTCAACATCTTCCAGCTGTTCTCTAATGGCCATGATTTCTTTAAACTCTTTGTCCTTTTGGCTCTCTTTGTCCTTTAATACGTTTCCATCATATATCGGTTTGTTTCTACTGTGACTTTCCACATAATTTCCCACATCCAGGACCGAGGGTACAGCAGTCTTTTTAAGAGTTTTTCTTTCGTTAAACGATCGAAAGTCGTCCTCACGAAAATGACGACTACACAAAGAACTCCAGCGTGAGGCTCGCCAGTCTGGTCCTCTTTGCTTTTGTATAAACGACTCCCATTGTTCCAACAAATCCTTCCGTTTAAGAGGAAATCTATAAGGAAAAAGGAAATATGTATAAATAATAGACATTGGAAGTTAAGTTACGGCGTACTTACTTGTGAAAGGATATGTTCTCTGAATGTCCATATCGATCATTGCAATTCACCACTGCACAAAATGAAGGCATTTTATAAATATGTTGCTTTTTAACGTACAAAACACTCAATGGACTTGGGGCAAATCCAACTTTACGGTCATATTTGGTAAAAATGCATAAACTTCAAACTTCACAAATTGTTTTCCACCGAACTTGGTATATAAAGTTACACTTTCTGGATGCCACAACAAGAATTTAAATAGCGTAAATCTTCATTAATACGATCGAAGTCTCCGATTTGGTCCAATTTCTGCGAAGAATGCCTTCCTTCCAGGACAAAAGTCGTATTTTGGACGAGCGTATGTCCATCTGTGTCACACCAAAATAAAACGCGTACCTAATTAGAAGGCAAAACAAAATGACCGATAGCTCTATTGTTTACGAATGAGTGTACTGCATACCGTCGAAAACTTTGTTGTTTACGAACTACGAACATGAGGAAAACGCAATCAGCTGGAATATTCATTTAAATGAGCAGGGAAGTAGATACATTGATTCCGCGGTGGCTTATAAAAATTTGTAACAATTGTTGCAAATTGTTACTGGATGTCTTCTGTTAACACAAAATATCTGCAAGAGAGAGCGATTTGAGAAAACAATTTTGACAGTTCATTCACTGAGAGTTTGCAAATTCTTGCTGGACAAATTTCTTCTTGCAATCACTTGTAAACTCTTCTTCTTCTCCTTCCGTTGATTTACATTCGGACAAGCAATTTAAAAAAATTTTATTTTGGAAATCACAAGCGCAATTCCTTTGTTTTTTTTTTACTTTTTTGAAATTTCTGCATAATTAGACGCACTAAATGCTTTGTTTTGACAATCCAGCTGATTTCTTGCAAGTTTCTGCAGGAATTCCGTCTATTTACTTTTCACAGTTTTTTTTTGCAAAAGAAATTAAAACTACCTTAATCTAAATTTTTGGTTTCCGGCTATCGAAAAATAGTAAATGTCAAAAACGTAGAAAATAAGGACAACTATGATACAATAAAAAGGAATCACAGAGCTGCTTCCATTGCCATGGAATTGAAACATTGAACTGTTTAGAACATATTAAAAGAAACATGTTAGTAAAACTGCAGAATACAACACCAAGGCTATGCCCGCTTCATGTCAGAATTATTTAAATTATATGCAAAAGTTGTTCTTATTTATTTTATATTTTTCCTAATTTTTAAAATAAGTTAAATAGATTCTTCAAAACAATAAATACCTACCCAAAAACGGAAGAACTCGGGCACACTCAGTAAAAAAATTGTAATCAGCTTGTAGCTCTACCTTACCTTTTTATTGTACCAAGTTTATGATAACTTTCACGAAACATTAACAACTTGAACCTAAATGTTCGATAAATAAGTGCAATTTTGAAAACTATTTTTAATGCATTTTGTAGACACATGTTTACATTTCCACATAATATGGACATTTTTTACTATATTTTGCACTTTTACTTCTTACAATATTTTAATATAAATTAGTAATTAGTAGACTGCTTTCACGCAATCATAATGAACCACCCCAAAAAATTATGATGGCAGTCCTTTAAAATCTACACAAATTCGGGTTGGAAATCATGCATTATACAATTTTTAAAATTTGAATTTCCAACGGCTTAAGCAGTGTTGAACTTCTAACGAAACAGCTGTAATTGAATGAGACAAACATATACGCTTTCATATGTTCTCAACTCAATTTGTTTTGACACTTTGTCTTTTCGCAGCAGCTAGCTTTCATATATCATCTCTGAATAAAAAGAAAAATATTAGAGAATCGGGGCAAAACATCTCGGAAAGTTATTATTGCTTATTTACATAACGAGCATGATTATTTTTTAATAAAATCGTATAGTTTTATATTTTTCGTAATATAAAATTTATGGCCATTTAATTTCTATTATTTCCACTATCGAAAAAGTTCTGGGAAAAAGTTAAAATAGCAAATCTAATCTGCGAAAAAAATCTGAAACGTTGAAAAAAGAAAGTTTAACCTGTCATCTCTATGAGAGAGGGAGAGAATGTGAGCAAGAGAACAACAAACCAAACAGAAACAGAAGACGAAATAAATTGAAAACAAAGCAAGTCAAGTCGATTGAATGAAATAGGCAAAAAGAAGTGGTGAAACAAGATCTATTTGTCTTTCGACACAGATTAGAAAAAGAATTCCAAGTTGTTTTTTTTTTATTAAATTCCAATTTATATGCATAAGACATAACCAGCCAAACGAAGAACGAATAATAGATGTGAACAAGAAGAAAAAGAAAATCGGCAAACAAAAGACAACACATTTGGAAATTGATGTTGTATTGGAGATATAGGGAATTATTGCCAGAGACTACAAGCCGTGTCACACAGCAAGGGCCAGCCACAACAGTCTGGGCCGAGGAGCGCAGCGGAGCAGCGTAAAAACAGATTGACAGTCGCAGCGCAAATTGTAAACGTAGCAGTCAGTCAGTCATTGAGTGGAAGAGGTAGAAGCAAAGCTAAAAAATACATATATTTGTGGTGTGAATGCAAGCAGCGCGAAGTTGCGAAACAACAATAACTACGACAACGACGACGACGAATAAGAAGTGGCACAAGACAATCCGACAGAGTGGTACACAAGAAGTGGAGAGACGTGTTCTTGGGTTCCCGTTGTAGTCCCAATTTTCCAAACAGACTGCTGTTCTCTCTGTGTATTGTGCAGCGGCGGTGGCGAAGTAGCCAGCCACAAAAAAGGGGATCCCACGATCATCATCATTATTGTACACTCCCTCTGCTAGACCCCCAAACCAATGTTCGTGTGTCTCACACCTTTCCTCCTGATCGAGTAAAACGATTCAAAATCTACGTTCGTGTGTGCGTCTGTATGAGTGAGAGTGAGGTGTGTGCTTAGAGTTTTTGGTTTTTACTATCGCTGCTGCTGCTGATGTTTACGGAAGTTATAGCCGCTGTCTTGTAGTGGATCACTGTTTCTATTAAGGGAAAAGAAGTGTCTTGTTTTGTTGTTTGCATTTGTTGCTGCATCACCCGCAAAAGGCGGAAGAGGAAGCCGTAGCTGCCAATTGTTGCAGCAACCACCAGCACCACCACCAAAGGAGGAGGCAGTCATACTTGTCAAGTCGAGTGCAGCGTTAGACAGACAACACATTGCCACCGACATCATTTTCTGCCCACCATGTCGTGGACAGAGGTAAGTAAAAAGCGAAACAATTTCTTACCATTTATGGGCAAACCCCTTGAGCGCATATCTTTGGAATGGAACTTTATGGCCTTAGATAAGGGTCTCCCTTGCTCTCCCATCTATACACGCATATGTATACCGGGAGTATCGAATCGACACCAAAACAAATGAGATCATCAATCACTATTTGTTTTACTTTATCGCAATTGTTATTGTTGTTGCCACTTTTTCAACCACATTCTTTCGAAATTAATTTTTCGTTTGCTTCGATGTCTTACAAATCGCATTTGTAGCTGAAAAATTGCAGCGTAAGAGCCACAGTGTTCAACGGACAAACATGCATACCTGGCAACAGCATTAACATTGGGACACAAGATAATGAAAAACCTTAATTTAACCAGTATATAAATATTCTCGAAAATTACAGCAAAAGGTCGATCCGGAGTTAATCTTCACAAAACAAGAACGTATCGGCAAAGGATCATTTGGCGAAGTTTTCAAAGGCATCGATAATCGTACTCAACAGGTAAGACACGATGGAGTAAAAATGTTGCACATGGTTTAATTATCGTCCTCTTTTTAGGTGGTTGCCATAAAAATAATTGACTTGGAAGAGGCTGAAGATGAAATCGAAGACATACAACAAGAGATTATGGTGTTGTCGCAGTGCGACTCACCATTTGTTACCAAATACTTTGGCTCCTTTCTCAAAGGAACCAAACTATGGATTATCATGGAGTATTTGGGCGGTGGTTCGGCATTGGATCTAATGAAGGCGGGTTCTTTCGAAGAAATGCACATAGCCATAATATTACGTGAAGTTCTCAAAGGTCTGGACTATTTGCATTCAGAGAGGAAACTACATCGTGATATTAAAGCTGCCAATGTTTTGTTGAGCGAAATGGGCGATGTAAAGCTGGCTGATTTCGGTGTTGCCGGTCAGTTGACGAATACCACATCAAAGCGCAACACATTTGTGGGTACACCATTTTGGATGGCACCAGAGGTCATTAAACAGTCCATGTATGATTCCAAAGCTGACATTTGGTCGCTGGGCATAACGGCCATTGAGTTGGCCAAAGGTGAACCGCCCAACTCTGAATTGCATCCTATGCGTGTCTTATTCCTTATACCCAAAAACAATCCGCCACAATTGACGGGAAACTATACGAAATCTTTTAAAGATTTTGTTGAAGCGTGCCTTAACAAGGATCCCGAGAATGTGAGTTCCTTTGATAGCGAGTAATGCCAACGTAAATGTTAATATTGTTGAACTCTATTTTCAGCGTCCTACTGCAAAGGAATTACTCAAGTATCCTTTTATTAAAAAAGCTAAGAAAAATTCGTACCTTATCGATCTGATAGACCGTTACAAGAAGTGGAAGCTTCAAAAGGGTGATGAAAGTGAAACAGAATCCGAAAATTCTGATTCGTAAGTAGAGATAGAGGCAAATTGTCGTAAATCAATTAATTTAATATGTCTTATCCTTTTCCAGTGATGACTCCAAACCGGGTTGCAATAATGATGAACCGTGGATTATGACTGTAAAAGGGGCTCATTTCGGCAGTGAAGCCACTTCCCCACACAAGGCAATAACTAGCAACCATTTCAATAGACTGGAAGAACATGAACTGAAAATGGATAAACTGGCCCAGGGTATGGACACATTGACGCCCCTGTCGCATCATGGCAGCAAGCATCATTCCCAAATAGGCGCCTCCTCTTCCTCCTCCACCTCATCCTCCGTTCAATCAACGTCTCAAAATAAGCGTGACAGCATGGTGGCAACGTCCGCCTCGGCCTCGTCATCTGCAGTCGCTTCCGGCCCGTCTTCATCGGTCACAACGATTACGTCCTCTAATGCGGCAGCTTCGATCAATACACGTGGTGATCACACGAATCATCACCTTCTCCACCACCCAGCACAGCATTCCCATCATCAAATATCAAACAATAGCTCCTCCTCTGCTTCCTCGTCGTCATCACCGTTGTCGTCCAATGCCAACACTTCCTCGCAACACAAGCAGTTAATGTCCTCAACTGGCAATTTGTTGGAAAGTTCCAGCAAGGCGGGTATAATGTCAAGCTCTTCGAGCACTAACTTTAAAGACCAGCAAAAGGTTAATTTGCGGCCAACCCGTACCACATCCCTGGATGCAGATATTGAAAGGCGAACTTCGGTAAGTTGTAGCCACATCGGTAGTAGAAAATGTATTTTGACGTAAGATTTTTTAGTTACAGTTAATGGATCATGGCAAGCAGCAGCAACAACACCGAGAAGACGATGAGGAGAGATCTCTGCGGCGCAGTACTATGGCAGCTTCTATTTCCTCAGTGGCTGTAACACCATCCAGCAGCAGTGGAGGCGGTGGTGGTCATATGTTAGCCACTAGTAGTAGCATGGGCAATGTCTACAATGGCAATTCCCATGCAACGTCGGCCGATTTTATAAACCATGAGTCGGCATCTCTTTCCCCCACATCATCTAATGCCAATCATAAGAGCAATTCTTCGTCGAATCATGGTGTCGGCAGCACTAGCGGTGGTGGTCGTGTGGCACATACCAACAGTGCCTGCCTTAATAATTTTCTCTTTCCTATACTCACTGATGTAAGTTGCAATGCGTACTTTAGTTCGAAAGGACACTTATATACCAATTACTCTTTTTCCTTGTAGATTCAACGTAAATATAGCAGTAATTCCAGCAAGAATATGAATGTATTGGATATAGGCGATTTAAAATCGGTATTTGAATTGGCCGAACGCAGTCGCCCTGGTGTAAGTGACCTGTTTCTAAAAGAAATCATACATAAACTTGTACCGGGATATTCGGAAACACGCATCAACAATATTATGGATAGAGCAATTAGGTAAGTGTTGTCAAAAGATAAGGTCATTGCTTTTACATGGAATATCCAACACCTGAACAACTGCCATTTTTTGGAAAACAATGGAATTTTGTTTAAGGGAGTCTGGTTTGTGGTATTTATGGTATTCATGCTTTTTTATCTTATCATATCATAAATATTTGAAAAGAATTTATCTAACATTAGTTTTGCTATCTGTCCATGTATTGGTATCTCATTCGTTTCACTTCTTTTCATTACAGAAACAAGAAATAGGTTATATGACCCTGCGACGCCCAGGTCCGGTTTTGTTGTGGAATTTTATTATGTTATTCCTGCTTAACGTGTTTTTATTATTATAATATTTTTTTAATTGTATTATTATTTTTATTATTATTCGTTCTTCACGATGATGTTATGTTATCTTTCTTTTCTTTTCTACCATACTTCCACTTTGATAGTTCCCCCCTGCGTATTGTATGTAAAATTAAATTAATACAAAAAGAAAAAAAATAAGCACGGAAAACTAAACAAAACAAATCGCATGTGCAAAACTGCAAAATTTGCTGCAGTAAAACGGCAAATAACTACAATAACTAAAGAAATTAATCCAACAATCAACCAATCTCCAAAAAAATTACTAGAAAATCAGAAAAAAAACACCACAACAACTACAATAATATAAATAACCCATGAACACACTCTTATCACAGATAAGTCAACAACATTGGATTACCAACAAACCACAAGGAGAGTTCAAATGGACTAGATAAACCTTCAGCAACAAGCGATTGATAAAGATAACATTTTTTTTCAAATTGCTGTACAACATTTTCCCTTTGTGTTTTGTAATATACAGGTAGTAACAATAAACTATTAAAAATTACAAAAGCAAAGGTATGTTTGCGAACAACAACATAAACTTCACCGTCTCTCAGTGCGTACAACGTTAGCTTGGTAAATCTGAAAACAAACACACTCACACAAATTCAGATGACACGGACACCCGAAGAATTGTTTGATCTAAATCCGATAATTTTGGAAATTATTTGTATGTAGTTAAAATTCTAAAAACAAAGAAATAAATAAAGAACAAAACAAAACTGATACGAAAGTATAAAATCTTCAACTTATAGTACAGAAGAAATCATATATATACACAACAACAACAAATCTTAAAAACAAATACAACAATGTTATTGACACACATATAAAATAAATTAATAATAAAATAAAAAAGGAACAAAAACAAACAAACAAATAACATGAAAAGAACTTAAATGAAAATAAATCATACCTACATATATAGATTGAAAAGTAATCCCACATGACTATTATCATTACATACCAGTTTGGGGGTTTTCTACCTTTTTGTAGAATAGGAAGTGGGGTGTGGATGGTTTTAGAATCAACTGTTGAAGGTTTATATCTGTTATAAACTATATAAAGTTGTCCAAATGTGCATGAAATTTCTACAGGACTTACAATCGTTTAAAAGGGAACAAACCCCACAAAAGGCGAATAAAATAGAAAAAGACAATTTCTCGCATTCAAAATTTTCGACATTCTCTCAATTTTTTTAAAAATTGAAAATCATTTTAAAATTCCTCATTACTGCTATGGTACGATAAAGACAATGTAGGCTAAATTGGAAAAAATTGAACGTAGCGAGGTGTTCCTGTAAGAATTGAAATGTCTAAATTACTATCAAAACAAATGCAACTTGTTGCATTGATTTTGAATAAATACAGCGCGAGATAAAAAAAAACCTGCAACAAAGTCAAACGCCGTAATTTTTAATTTTATTGAATGAAAGCAAAAAATGTCGGAAACAACCTCAAATTTTAGAAAAAGTTTAGATTGTTCAATTTGGTCACCTTTGGCACGAATTATGGCCTTCAAACGGCCAATGAAACCGTCACACGCTGTCCGAATGTTGCTCTGCGGTATTTAGCCCATTCCCGGCGAAGCGCTTGCTTGAGGTGATCGACACTTTTGGTGGCCACTGGCGAGGGTGCTGACTTTCCTGCTGGAAAGTCCAATTTCTGCGGCCAAAATGTTTGCGTGCCCCATGCTTTAATACACCCTCCAGAATATTTTCGCGATAATATTCGTCATTTATTCTGATGCCACGGTCGATTAATACGAGCGGAGAGCGACCATCGGCTGTTATGGCGACCCACACTATCACCAAGGCCGGCGCTTAAGTTCTGGTGGCCAACCGAAGGTGCAAATTTTCAGCTGACCTCTTTGGCAAGTAAACACGATCATTTTGTTTGCTTACAAACTGCTGGACAACGGATGTTTTCTCATCGGAGAAAACCAAATTCGACAGTTTATCAGTTTCGGCCAAGCGAAGTAACTCTTTAGCTCTTTTGAGTCTATTTTCTTTTTGTTGTGGTGTAAATTCTTGCACTTTTTGGAATTTCAATGGCTTTACCCTGACCTCATTTTTAAATATTTGCAAAATGGAATATTGCGATATGTTCAGCTCACGAGCCATTTTTCGGCCACTTCGATGCAGGTTTCGATCAAGTCGCTTCTTTACTTTTCGATCCATTTCTCCTGATGTTGCTGTTTTCTTCTGTCCACTTCCTTGACGTCGGGCTACGCTACCAGTATCACAGTAACGAGCGATGGTACGAGACACAAACGATTTGTTCACATTTAAATGCTGGAGTGCTCTAACGATAGCCAAATATAGAAAAATCACACTATCACGCTTGAATTCCATCACGAATAACTTTTTTTTCTGGAAAATTCTGACCCAAATGCTTTTGTGCGCTTGTAAAGAATATAATGAGCTGCAACTGGAATAATTTTAACAGTTGACGGACTGAAGTTGGATGTAGTTTTTTCATCTCACCCTGTAATTAAAAAGCGCGAAAACCGAATAAAATTTCATACTTTCTTTTAATAATATTTTTTTTTCATTTCTCTACAGATTTATTTCGCTACAAAAATGAAATGTCCTTGCAAACGTTGAAATAAGTAATTTAAAATTGGTCGTTGTCTTGGATTTTTTCATTTTAAAGCCTACCATAGAACATTTTTTTAATTGGATATTTTTTTACCTTTTTTAATTTTGTTTTCAAAATGTGTTTGTGGGTCATAATGGGTTCCAGCTCCGGTGGCAAAACATTGTAATTATAGGTCCACGTTTTGGTATAGCCCCCATATAACAGTACCTCCCCATAATCGGCATTTTAATGGTTTTTGCCACATTTCTTCTAATGTTTCTTTTACCCTAAGGTGGAGGGTATTAAAAGTTTGGCCCGGCCGAACTTAATGTTTTTTTACTTGTTTTAGTTTTACTTGACAAGTTTTTTTCAATAAGATATCAGACACCTCAATTATGCTTATTGCAAACAAAATTCCTAATGTTTTAAGATAGAACTTTTATGGCATTATTCAGAAAGATTATTTTTGTCCTATAGAAAACTAGGCATCATCCAAGTTTATATCTCAGTTAAATATATATTTCACACAGAGCAAGAAAATACTATCAATTGAACACGTTTTTCTATGTGCATTTCAAAAATTCGAACAAGGCGTACGACTAATATTTTTATTTCAAAAGAATTTGCCACTTCCCCTTTAGAATCTAACAAGATTCAACCTATTTCTAACCAGTTTAATTTCAAACAGTACCACATGGCCTTAATACTTTAGATTTTTTTATTTATTTTTAGTTTTTTTTAGTTTCTTTATACTATTTGTACAAAATATTGTTTTGGGGGTATATTAATAGGTGATTTGTCACTATTATTTTAAAGAATAAAATTTGTAAACTTACAAAATGCTCTTTTACATGGATATACTAAATATAAAAAAAAATAGTTGGTGAAAACTTAAACTAAAAGTCTTTCGATTTCCTGTTGAATAGAAGTGATCTGAGACTTTAACTGAGATCCCTCATTTGTGGTAACGGAACAGGCAATGATGGGCCGTGAGACACCACACGCACGACCCAAGGCTTGTTTTGAACGTACAAACACATATGGAACATTCTTATCTTCGCACAACAGTGGCAAATGCAAAAGAATTTCCAAGGGTTCAGCATCAGCTGCCATCACAATAATATCGGCTAAACCACGATTTAAGGTCTTGGTAGCTTCGTTGGCACCTTTACGCAATTGATTGTAGTTCAATGCCTGTTGCAAAAGGTTCATAATTTTTGCTGTTAATTGGGCATCCGCCAATGGGAAAGCTTTGGGATTGACTTCATCTGCCTGCAAGAGAAAATCGCCAACGTTATTTGATGTCCTGATTACCGTTCAAAGTAAATAACTTACCATTTTTAAAATTTGTATGGAACAAAAATGTACACTTTAACTCAGTTTTTATTAGCTATAATAAAATTTCAACAACTATTGAAGAAAACACTCGGCGTTGTTGCCGAAACCAAGGAAATAAAACGTTTTCACAACGCACGTGTTTTTATTTTGTAGTTGAAACCAAAAAACTAGGCAGCATTGAACCTTTGCAAGTGTATACATATTAAAGCTGGAATCTATGAAAACCTGTGGTAAAATAGGGTATACATTATCGAGCATCCCCTTCTTGACACATGTGCACTTATTACCAAACTGAAGGGGTAGAAATTTTCGGAACAGTTGCATTCATAGAATAAAGATATTGTTACACATTCAAAAATTAAAAAATAACAAGATGCAAAAAATATTCACCACAATTACTGAAAATTGCGAGTTTTCATGACGCAACATCAAAACTATTGTAGATTGCTAAGATTAGTACACACTATCAACAATGGTACAATAAAAAGGTAAGGTAGAGCTACCAGCTGATCACAATTATTTTTCTAAGTGTGCCCGACTTCTGCCAATTTTGTGTATGTGTGTATTGATTGTTTTGAAAAATAAAAACAGAATATTTTCAAAATCAATGATTGGAAGACGCGTAAATTGTGAGACGCGCATTAAAGCTATTTGCCAATTTAGCCATGGAATTGAAATATAGTACTGTTTAGATCATGTTTTTGAAAGATTATCCAGGCATTTCATTCATTTTCCCGCTGTTTAAGAGATTTGAAAAATGAGAAAAAATACTAAGTAAACGAAAACAACTTGTTGCATACAAATTTGACAGGAAGCGGGCATAGCTTCAAGGCTGTATTTCTGTAGTTTTACGAAGCTGTTCTACCTCATTATTGTGCCATGCTATTAACCAAAAAATAGTACACCTTATCAATTGCATTGCATTGATTTTTTATTTATTTTCAATATAAACATTTTCCTAGTCCATAGGACCATGGACTGTTCTAAAAACTTTTATACACGTATTAGCAATGGAATTGACATTTTAGGTCCCGTCCCGGTTTGGCATATGCCAATATGGGACAAAGAGCTGTTCTTTTACCCTGCTGTTCTTTAACTTTTGCAAAACCCAGTAATTTTGTTTTCATTTATTTGATATTTTTGTTAATTTTTCAAATGATTCAAATAGCGTGAAAGATGAATGAAATACCTGGATGTTCTCTCAAAAATGTGATCCTAACTTTTCAATCTTTGAATTCCGTGGCAAATCTGGTTAATATCATTAATGAGTGCCCCGCAATTTAAGTTTCTTTCAATCATTGATTTTGAAAATATTTTGTTTTTATTTTTCAAAAATACATACACAAAATTGGCAGAAGTCGGGCACACTTAGAAAAAAATTGTAATCAATTTTATTTATTGTACCAAGGATTATTGTAGGTTCTGGAACAGAATGCTAGATGCGTATAATGCATTAAAATAAATGTATTTGTCCGGGTTTATTAACTTAATCCGAATTTATAAAACCAGTAGTGGGATTTTTTACTGCTTTTTGTCAGTAAGTCAAAAAATAAAATCTGACTATAGATACACACTACAAAAAAATCATAAACGCTTGAAAACATTGATATGTCAAAATGTTTTGTCAAAAATAAGTAGATTTTTATATGTTTTCTTATACGAAGCAAATCGGAAGTTGTTATGACACACATTTTTCAACAATTTTTACAAATTCCAATTATTTTTCCATGGTAGAACTAAGAAGGTAAAGTCATGTATTTGTAATTTATTTAAAATTTATACATTTGACAACATCTCATTGTCAAAATCTATACTCATAAATCCATTGCAATGCATTGAAATTTGACAAGGTAAGTTACAGAAAATGCAGAGCGGAAATGTTAATTTGAAATGATGTTACCTTTATTTCTTTATACCATGTAATATTTCATTAAACAATTTCAATTCTAAAATCGGTTTGACAGTTCATTGTCCCAGCAGCTGTGTCGATGCGACTACCTTATTTACAACTTTTATTACATTTTTTTAAATTATTTACTTGACAACATCTCATTTTTAAAATATATATTCATAAATCCATTGTAAATGCATAAGTTATTGATGGGAACCTATTTTTTATGCAGTGAAATTTGACGGCAAATTAGAGAAAATGCAGAAATGGGTATGCTTATTTAAAATGACTTTGCCTTCCTAATTTTACCATGGTTCTCATCTCTGGTTTGTATATGCACAATGAATATATATAAATATAGATTTATACAATAAGATGTTGTCAAATAAATAATTTTGAAAAAATTGTAAACATATGATTGCATGACTTTATCTTCTTGATTCTACCATTAGCATTTGTTAAAATCCCTGTTGTTATCTCTTTTCAAACTCTAGAACCCATTTGCATTTGTCAGTTCATATATTCCTTATTCTATGATTAATCGGCCTTTACGTCTGTCAAATGTCGATTGTTGATAAATCGATAGTCGACTTACGTACAGAGTCACGCATTTCGATTGTAAAACGGTGGCTTAGATTTTTTTCGGATGTAAGCCGCCGAGGATTTTTTCGGCTCAAATCGTCTGCCGAATAACCAGCTATAATATCGCACGCGCCAATTTTATTCGACAAATATATATACAAATTAAAAAAATGTATTCCTATATACATATAGCTCTTAATTATTTTTCCTACTTGCCGAAATCGAACCGCAGTCGATAAACTACAGGGTTTGACGCCGATGATAAGTATCATATGTAAAGAGTTGACGCCGTCAATTAAAACGTTCCGCTTCGATGTCTACTTGCGTATCCCTAGTATCATCATATTTATTCGTAAAAGTCGTGAGAGAAGTAAGAACGCCCGCGTCTCGTCGTGTTTCGTTTATAGCACACAAAAAAAGAAAGAAAAGCAAATACAAAATATATTTAAACAAATCATTATAAAACTTAATCGCTTAATTAGAAAATAAATATTTCTCTAATTTTAAGTTGAATGCGCGCATTGTACACAATTTACATGAGCAAAATTCTACATGCATTGCATATGTTTGCATAGGCGAAGAAAAAAAGTAACAAGTAAGAAAGAATTGTTGGAATTGGAAAATATTCATTTTCCTTGCTGCTCTAATTGGATTTAAGTGGATAGAAAAGATAGTGCTTGTAGCAATACGGAACGGAGGAAAATCGATTATTCAATAGCGCAGTGTAGAAAAAGCCAATTCGTTCAAATGCATGAATTAGCAACAAAAAGACGGGAAAATTTTTTATGGCAAATATGAAAAAAAAATCTAAACAATAATTCGTAATTTTCGATGTAAAAATCGAGGCTAAATTAGTGAAAAATGTGTGTACATAGCGAAAATATAATGGAAAAAGATGATAATCAAACATACACACACGCACATACACTAACAAACGGCTAAGAAACTCTTGTTCGCTCACTCTCACGCACACACATACACGCTCGCTCGTTTACTTGTATATAGCAGTCCAATTGAAATATATGTGAATTTGTTTTGCCCCCCTCAATACATACAGACTTCCTTCACGCAGTCAAAAAAAATGTAATAAATGAGTACATAGCAGTAAGCAGAACAGCAGGAACCAGAAAAGCCACAATAAAGAAGAAGCAACAGACAAGAAATGTTACTTTGTGTAAAATAAATGTGTAATGACAAAGAATTACGCTGATGATACTACTTCTAAACAAGCGACAAGTGAAAATATTGCAAAAACATACCGATACAAAAACGAAGAAGAAGAAGAAAAAACAAAAGTGTATCAAAAGAAATAATTGGACAAACAAGTGTTTGTTGAGGCCTGTATGTATTAGGGGTATGTGTTGCGTCGGACGGTTATTACAAAACATAAAAATTTGAGAATTGCCAAAAGTGAGAATTTTATTTTGACAAACATTCCAATAAAAATCTGTTTAGAAGACGCAATGTCGTAATTGTCAAAAATAAACGAAAAAAAAAACAATTCTTTCCCCTCTCTAAGATCAGCTGTTATCGTCACTGTGTAGAAATGTTAGATGGAATAGAAGAGAAACAGAGAGAAAGAAAGCGTATAGTTGTTATGTATGTGTGTGTTTTGTGTTTAATAGTATTGCCACATTTCTATAACAGTAGAAATGAAAATCACCTGTAATTTTCATATATTAAGTGGTTGAGATAATTTATAAAGAACATTAAAATGGAACAGTGTTGGTATGTTTGTTCGGGATAACATAGTATTTTGATGTTGCAAAATATTAAAATATTTCAATAATCTCTCTTCTGCTACAACAAATATAAGAATTCAGTTGTCTCTAGGGATGAGGAAGTGTTTAGGACGAAAAAAAATTGTAAAATTCAAATCATGAAAATCGAAAATCGTTCCTACGATCGGTATTTCTTGCCGGCAATTGTCGTCCCTTGTTAGATCAGCCTGAAATTACGCCACTACAATGCCAAAATAGGGCAACGTTTATTTTGTTTTTATACAAAATTTTCCCAGTTTAATTTTCTGTTTATCCCCTTTATGATTTTTTATCTCTGCTGTTTGTTTTTCATTTAATAACACAGAATCGGTATTATGCGAGATTGTGTGTGTGTGTTATGTGCTAGTGAGATATCGAAGTGTTTGCCAGAGAGAGAGAGATAGAGAGCAAGAAAACGACGAACGATTTTCTAATTGAAATCAAACACTTGACACTTTTTAAATTAAAACGTCAAATTAGAAAGAACGAAAAATGAGAGTGCAGCAGCGAATAAGTGTTCGTTGTTCGTGTCATCTCTGATTGATGCCCATAGTAATCGGTTTTTATTGGTGTTTTCCCGCTACTTTCAGATGAAACGAGCAATCAAGCCCACAACACAGAAATAAATGAAGTGTAACAACAATTAATTAATTTGTTAATTAACTAAACACAAAACAAACAAAATAAAATCACAATTGCAGATTTGAAACGAGTTATAAACAGTGATAAATAAATTTCCTCAAAAAGAGAAAACAACAAATCGCCAAACGAAAACATTTTTCATTTGTTCGCAACATAGCCACCAGTACAATCACACAACAACGCAGCAAAGTGGAAAAATAAGAATAAAGTGATCTTCGAACACAACGTGTGCCAGTGACGACAGCCAGTCAGTATTTTATCGAGACCAGTTTGTTGAAAATTTTTCAAAATTGCGAAACATATTTTAAGCTTTTTAAAAAAGAAAAAGACCCCTCAGTCTTCTGGCAGCGGCAGTGAGGACAACAAATCCCTACAGCAGCAGGAGTCCGCACAGTTGAGCAAACAGCTTGAGCCAAGCAGTCCCGGCGCGTCGTCTAGCAAGTCGTCGCCGTCACCGCTGACGACCGCGACTAAATTGGACACAGCTGCTGCACGGCCACAGGCAACCAACACATCTACAACATCGGCAGACCCATCGGCACAAAAAGCCTCCAAAATAACACCACCCACAGGTCCCCAGTCTACCATATCGTCGCCGCCTACAACGCAGGCAACAACCGCCTCGGGCGATACAACAGACGCTGCCGGCTCATCCGTATCAACCACAGCGACCTTCCGTCTCTCTTCGTTAACAGGTACCATCTCGAAAATGGGAAATAACGCCACCACTTCCAACAAAAAAGTGGATGCTGCCGAGACCGTCAAAGAGTTCCTCGAACAGGCCAAAGAAGAGTTCGAGGACAAATGGCGCCGCAATCCAACCAACACCGCCTCTCTCGAAGACTTTGAACGCATCAAAACTCTGGGCACGGGCTCCTTTGGTCGGGTAATGATAGTACAACACAAGCCGACAAAAGACTATTATGCCATGAAGATTCTGGACAAGCAGAAGGTTGTCAAACTAAAACAGGTCGAGCACACGCTCAATGAGAAGCGTATCCTACAGGCCATTTCATTTCCATTTTTAGTGTCGTTGCGCTATCACTTCAAGGACAACTCCAATTTGTACATGGTGCTCGAGTATGTACCGGGTGGTGAAATGTTCTCGCATCTACGTAAAGTGGGCCGGTTCTCGGAGCCCCATTCGCGCTTCTATGCTGCGCAAATTGTACTCGCTTTCGAGTATTTGCATTATCTTGATCTAATCTACCGTGATTTGAAGCCAGAAAACCTGCTTATCGACTCACAGGGCTACCTCAAGGTAACTGATTTCGGTTTTGCCAAACGTGTCAAAGGCCGCACCTGGACATTGTGCGGTACTCCTGAATACCTCGCCCCCGAGATTATTCTCTCCAAGGGCTATAACAAAGCTGTGGATTGGTGGGCCCTCGGTGTTCTTGTCTATGAAATGGCCGCCGGTTATCCACCCTTCTTCGCCGACCAGCCTATTCAAATCTATGAGAAGATTGTGTCCGGCAAAGTGCGTTTCCCCTCACACTTTGGTTCCGATCTGAAAGATCTGCTGCGCAACCTGTTGCAGGTCGATTTAACCAAACGTTATGGCAATCTGAAGGCGGGTGTAAATGACATTAAGAATCAGAAATGGTTCGCTTCCACAGATTGGATTGCGATCTTCCAGAAGAAAATTGAGGCTCCATTTGTGCCACGGTGTAAGGGACCCGGTGACACCAGTAACTTTGACGACTATGAGGAGGAGGCGCTGCGGATCTCAAGCACCGAAAAGTGCGCCAAGGAGTTTGCTGAATTCTAATTGTATTCAAACAAAGATATTTACCCTTTATACACACAAACATACAAACACATACATCTTTTCTTTTTTTGTAATATGTATGCGTCGTCGTTGTCGCAGCAATCGCTCCAGCTCCAGCTCCAAGACGCCCCTGTCGCCGTCGCTGTTCATCATATTTCTCATCACTGGTTGTTGTGTGGGTTAGTGGTGGGTACTAATATATAATGTGGCGGTACTGCAAATGGATCGTCGTACTTTTGTAAATTATTAAAAACTTAGAAAAACAAAAAACAACTACAAAATACCAAACTACAATGTTATAAAGTAAAAAATCTAAAACAACAACAATCATAAACTAATTAAAGGCATTAATATAGAAACAAAACAAAAAAAAAAAAACATAAATCCAATCACACTCGTTGTCACCATATGTAACCGTGGTCTTCGTAAATCAATCATAAAACCAATCACTGCTACGTTTACGGTACGTAGCGTTTACAATACGTCGCGCGTTCTTTTCTTTTCGAAAATAAACAAAACAGAAAACTTCTTTTTTGATGGGACCGAGAGAAGCTGTGAAAAAAGAAATCAGATTGAGATGTGAAAAGTGATGGAGAAGAAAGAAGTGTAAACGTATAGCGGCTAGTTAAAATTCCAAAAAATAAAGAAACAAGTTTCAAAAACTGTTGTAATGGATGGATTTTGACAAGACGATAAGTGGTGTTTAAAAGAAAAGTTATAAGGCATGTGTAGGAGCGATCCCTGAACTGAGCCTCCATGAATGCTAAAATTACTCTCCCCATAACCAAAACAAAAAGAAAATACATCGTTAGTATAACACCAACATATTCCGGGACGTTATCTATCAATAAGTGAACTAAACAAACATAATACAAACCTCCTTCAACATTGGATAACCAATCACAATCACATCTGTAACTGCATTAAAGACAACAACAACAACAAGAACACCAGCCATCATTGTTAATACGAACAACTTAACTATATATGGTAAGTTTATATTTCGATTTAATTTTCATTTTTCTTGGATGCCATGGATCATTTTATTCATTTGTACCTTTTGCATTTTGCTTTTATGCCAATCTTTTGAATCTTCACCTGTCTTCTGCTATGTACATACACATCTGCATACATTTCCATCTGTCATGAACTAATAATTTGCACTTTTTGTTTTTTTACTGATTTGCTTTTTTTTGTTGTACATATTTCTGTGTATATAAAAAATATTTAATTATGTATGTTCTATTATTGGCTATATGTTGTCTTTTGTTAAATGGATGATTTGTTTTATTTATGTTCAACAATTGGCTTTGGTTGATGTTTTGGGGGAAAATGATCTTAAAAATATGTTTTTTTTAATTGAATATTTTTTGTGATAAGTGGGGAAGAATCTGGATATTCTGTTAATACGATAATAATATTTAGAGATTTTGTTAATTATATTTGTGCATTTATGTTCTTTTTGGACACTTTATGCTGAAATTTACTATTTTCACTTGGAGATATTGCCTCCATTTGACGTTGGCTTGGTTTGTCGATTCTGTTTTTATACCCTCCAACTTGAAAAGGGGGGTATATTAACTTTTTCATTCCGTTTGTAATATCCCTAAATATAAGTCAGAACATATATTGATGATCCACATAAAATACTAAATCGATTTAACGATGTCCGTCTGTAGGTTGAAATCACGATACAGCCCAAATTATTTGACGTAGACCTTTGGCAGAACAATTTGTATTGTGTTTAGGATGGTTGGTATTAAAAAAATGAGATATATCGGTCCATGTTTTGATATAGCTCCATATAACGATAACTCCCGATACTCGGTGTTTTGATGATTTTGCCCTCATTTTTCCACGGATTTGTATAAAAATTGGCATTTGTTGGTCATAGTGGGTTCTAGCTCCGGTAGCGGAACATTTTATGCATAGGTCCACGTTTTCGTATAGCCCCCCATATATGGGTACCTCCCGATATTCGGTATTTAGATCATTGTTGACACGTTTTTCAGGGATTTGTCTAAAAATTGGTATTTGTAGGTCATAATGGGTTCTAGCTCTAGTGGCAGAACATTTTATGCATATGTCCATATAACGGTACCTATCGATATTCGATATTTTGATCATTTTTGGTAATGGATTCTAGCTCCTGGGGCGGAACATTGTATGTATAGGATTACGTTATGCATAGCCCCAACATAATCTTACCTCCGGATACTCTGTATTTTGATGATTTTTGACACATTTTTCAACGGATACGTCTAAGAATTGGTATTTTTAGTTTTGCTCTGGTGGCACAACATTATTTAGGTCCATATTTTTCTAAAGCGCACATATAACGATACCCACCGATATTCGGTATTTTGACAATCCTAGTCACATTTACCCACGAAATTGTTTCAAACTTGGTATTTAAGAAGATTTGGTAGATGACAATCCTCGAAGTATAAAATTGTCTATAGAGGTTTCCGTTTTGTTATGGCGCCCATATAACGGCCGCACCCACTTTATGGTTTTTTTGAAAAATTCGACAATATGGAACACGTTTGAATTCAGATACTTTTATACAAAAATGTTTTTTTAGCCAGTGGTGGAGGGTATTAAAATTTCGCCCCCGACGAACTTTATGGTTTTTGCTTGTTTTTAAATTCTGAGGGGATATTTTGTTTACAAATACCAGCCATTTGCTTTAGAATTATATTTCGATATAAATTCTAGAAAGAAAAATCTTGCAAAATTATGTGTCAAAAGTCTATGGTATAATTTGATCTAAAAAAATGCGGTATGTTCGGTCATAGTTTTTTAAACATATTTCTTGTAATTTGCTATTTTGGATAAGAATCTAATACAAAACTTCAAACTTAATTCAAAACTAAAAGTAAATTGCTTCTTTGAATTATAAATATTTTTTTCTCCTCTGCTCTTTTCTTCATACATAATTTCCAATATAATTTTCATTTAAAATACCAAAAACTTCCTTTGTTTGCTTTTAATTCCTTGAAACCATTCCTGTTATCTCATAACTTCAGAATCGTTGCCAAAGATGACAAAAAAGTAAATACTTCTTAGAAACCAAAACTTAAATCATATTTTCAATGCACGCTTGACAGATTCCTCAAATATCACGATTATCACAGAAATGTCGCCTTATTAGGTCAATGTGCTAAGAACAAGAAGTGCGCAGTCGTTTTATTCATGGAACTTTCGCTTTTAAGTTTGCATACCGAACAACTGGTGGCTCTGACGACGTTTTTTTATTTTTGTATAAATAAACGCTGATTGTTTGGATTTCCGAAACTTTCTTAAAATGCGTTAATGCGGCCATGTACTTTTAAATGTGGGGTTTTGTGCTTAATTCTGGTTCATTAGTAACTCAAGCTGTTCTTTTCGATGTGTTTTACTCTGCCGATTCTCTTGTTTGTTTTTAGAATTTATTAAACGGTTTTAATTAGCTTCATAAGCCAGTTTGTTGTTTTTTCACATCGTTGGCTGTTTTTATTTAGCATTGGTGGTGAGCAACTGGTTTTGTGTTATTAAAATTGAAATTAACAAACAAAAAAAAAAAAAACAAAAGCAAGAGCAAACAAATGCCGTTGCTAGTTTTACTTGGAGTCTATTTGCACTTGTTTTTATTTGGTCTTTTTTGCTTTGAACGCGTTTAGAATCTATTATTAGCTGTTGAAATTGTTGTTGCCATTTTTTTTTTCTTCTTTTCGCCATATTGCTGTTGTCTGTCTCCTCTGTTTTAGCCACCCCACCACCGTCGTCATCGTCATCATCATTAGCGATGACAGTTTTTCAAACGCCACACACTACCATCTAAGTTTATTCGAGGGCACTGTGACAAGGCTATTTACTTTTTTTTAATACAGCGTCGAAAAGTGTTGAAAGAAACTTTTTAAGCTCACCACTTGAGTCGTTTTTTTGTAGTTTAACAAGTGATTTCTTTATTTTAAGTTATAAGACAAAGAATTTAAATAATACCATCTCTCTCTGAAGGTGATATGAAGTAACAACAATTTTTCAATTCCATTGCTACTGAATTTTTTATTTTTTTTCATCTACTAAATTTATTATCGTTCAATTATCATTTGGGTGAGACTCTTTCCTCTTCGCATAACTTCTGGTGATGAATTCACACCAAATTTGTGAATTTTTAGACATTTTTGTGTATTTGTTTCCTATTACTCTTTATCAGTGTTGCTTTTTACCGGAAATAAGTGGCTGGTGTTTAACAAAGTGTCAATAACTCTAATATGTTTCGTTGACTTGTTGATAAGATATCTATGGTGGAGTTTGTGGAGTGGTACAAATTTGAATAATTTTAGTTTTTGGAAACTTTTGGGAGTAGCAATGCAATTTCAAAATATTGAGTCAGAATTTGTAATACATTGTCATTTCCCAATATCTTTCCAAAATGTAAAATTGTTTAGGATTCTCTACTATGTGAACAATTTAGGTAGGATATTTTATGCAAAAGTTCTGTATACCAGGCCCGCTTTACTGGTGGGCTTATTATACCCTAAGCCATATGGCTACAGAGGGTATATATCATTTGATACGAAAACGTGCCTCGACGAAACAACGGGTTTAGATCCTAGGTCTCTTTGGACCAAATCCGTTTCAGGACATTTGGAGCACAAAAGGTCGAAATTTTCAAAGAAAGAAAAAAATATTTTTCTGTGCAGAAAGAGAGAGGATAATTTTATTTTGATCCAGCTTTTCAATTCCTAATATTTCTATCAGCGCTACGTCAGGTGTGAAAATGGAAAATATCGGTCCACTGATTCAAGTACCTCCCCCACAAGTGGTTTACCTTTTGAATAATTATAACTCCTATAAATGAGAAATAAGAGACCGATTGTCTTCAAATTATTAACATCACAATACCTTCAATATCCCAAGGTACAGTGTGAAGATGGGATATAACGGTCCACTTCTTGTAGTACCTCCCCCACTAAGGGTCAACATTTGAATATCCATTAAGCTCATATAACGCGAAATCCGATTCCATTCAGACTTGGCACATCTCAATATTTCCATCAAGGCAAGATTTGTTATAAAGACGATAAAGATCGGATTGTTCCTTTTGGTACCTCGCTACAAAGGGTCGACGTTTTGAATAACCACAACGATCATAAAATCTGAAATAAGCATCCGGTTCTCTTCAAATTACATACATCACAATATTTTTGTTAACCCAAGGTCTGGTGTGAATATGAAATATATCGGTCCGCTCCTTCTGGTACCTCCCCCACAAAGGGTCAAAACTTTGAGTAGGCATGAAGCTCATATAACGCGAAAATAACGTCCGATTCCATTCAGACTTGGTACATCTCAATATTTCCATCAACACAAGATCTGTTGTAAAGATGGTAGAGATCGGACCATTTATTCTGGTACTTCCCCCACAAAGGGTTCAAGATTTCCAAAAAAAAAAAACGCTCAAACAAATCGAAATAAGCACCCGACTCTCATAAAATTTCACACATCCAACTAACGCAGGATCTGTTGTGGTGATGATATATATCTGCGAACTCTTTCTGGTACCTAATCCACAAAGGGTCACAATTTTCAATATTTTTCTTTCTTTGCAACTTGCTATATCTAAATATTTTTTTAACCAGAAATTTGATGTGAATATGTAATATATTGGAATTTATGATTTCGCATAAAATTGGATATAAATGTTCTATTTCCTTCAAATTTTGCACACACCAATATTTTTATCTGTATTAGATAAAGTATGGACTATATCTGTACCCTCACGCACATTTCAACGTTTTCTAAAAATTATCACA